TTGAACCATGGGGGAAATGTGTTGATGAGAGAACCGAACGAGAAACAACGAGGAGGGAAGAATAGAGAAAGAGACATCGGCGTAGGATGAGCTAGGCGAACGACCAAGGCGGACAAGCGATGGTACACGCGGTATAGGAGAACGTGTTCATCTTCGTCGAGGCTGCTACCATAGTAATTACGCTTTCGCCTGGTACGAGCTGAGCTTTTGTGTATGCTTTCTGCTTGATACGACGAAGCAGCCGTAGCATCAGCAGCAGCGACAGCAGCCAAATAACTACACCGAATCCTTATACTTATTTCCTGCCGGTGTTTTGCATTATAACGTGGGAGAACGACGAAGCCGAGAGCTCGGTATTCTCTTTCGTCGAGCATTACGACCGCGGGAGCTAAACGACCAAGTAAAAACTAGCTGAACTACGGACACCGAACTGTCCGTTGGAAAATTCTGAACGCGGTCGACGTAAAATAGCTTCTAAAAGTTTCGAAGATGCACTCGTTAATTCTACCTGCCGGACAAAATGTATCTCGTTTCTCCTGTGGCTGTTGGCCTCAGGATCGTCAGACCGGGGAAAAGAAAAACCGGAAGGTTGGAAGCGGCCACGGAGAAAGGCGCGGGCGAACGCGGCAAGAAATTCAACGTCTTTCCGCTGTCTTGCGAAAGCTTCCATGGTGAAAAGTCCGTAATTGTGTTTCCGTATGGTTGCCACCGTACGAAACGTGCACGGGTCGTTAAGGTGCACTGTTTTTCGGCCTTCCTGCGGCCAAGCTTACTCGCTAACATGATCGATGAGCACGCGAACCAGCTCCAGGGATTCGTTGAAACTCGTGTACGCAAGTTGGAAGAGTTTAATGAATTGATAGGCTGTTTTTGAAACGATGCGTGCGTCCGTAGGACAGGAATATTGAACACGAAATTACGTGGCTCTTAAATTATTCAAATACTGTGAAAACTCAGACACCCTGTATACCGTAATATTCGAAGGAGCATATGTTGATTAAGTTCTCATCCCTTACGTTCCTTTATTTCTCGACAGGATACAATGAAATTCCATTATTTCTATTATTATACGTACGATACAATCGGTTGCATCTATACCTATTTGTGCCTTATGAAAATCTTTAAGGATCGTAAATCACGAATTATGGAACGGATGTAAATTACGATTATTGCTGACTTTACGACACCAGACAGCGGCTTCGTAATCCGACTGTCACACCGTAAAAGCGAAAGTAGGGAATTGCAATAAGTAGAAATTTTACGATCACCAAATCGCTGGTACTGGGTGTGCGTAGGATTCAAGGGCAGCCCGAAGGAAAAGAAGGCAGGGGTGCAATTTCGTTCACAATACTCGGGGCATTCTGTCGGACGCCATAAACAGATAAACTTCATGGGATTATTTTACTGGCAATACGTCACTCGTAATTTATTCGTTAATGTTCAGTGGAACGAGCTCATTGCCGTTTAACTAGGCTTCTCGAGTTTCCTCGAGGACTTCAAAATATTGTGCCTCGTCTAAATTACTTTTCCCGACACTGGAATGATTTAGTGCTTCACGCTGAACGGTCGTTAGTAGAATAATTTGTGCTCTAACAGGGCAATATTTTTCGAATTTCGAAGCACGTCCACCGAAATAACACGGATCTGCCAGCCAGGCCCGTTTGTAGAACGATTTGTTTAACACACCGCAACGAATAATTAGTCATCGTTCTTGGTTATTACTTTCAATCGCCGTATGGTACAGAATAAATAAATGATTAATTCATCAAAACCGTTACGATCATTGGAATGCAATTTCGCGATATCACTATGACAGACTGAATGAAATTGTTACGATCTAATTAAAGATTTATTATGACAGGACGTGTTCGTTTGAACGATGGTCCCTGTCCTCGTGTAGCGCAAATTCCAGTGCATTAGCGACGATGAATCAAATGGAATTCGCAATTGTGCCATAACATCAATCTTTAATGTTACAGATCTTTCGATGAATTGCGCGCAACGATCGTTCCGTCATCATTACGCAATCAATTAAGTATCAATTATACTTAAGCTGTAAATATATAATCGTCACCGACATCACCGGTAATATATAGCTAATTAAAGATACGTATCTTATTTATCGACTTTCGCGTCGCAAATTGTTTCCAAGAGGCTGGGGTAAGTAGCAGGCAGAAATTTAATCCTCGGCTACTGAGGACTAAGGGTTCAAGAGCGAATGAACTTTCATTAAAAAATCTAATTTTCCAGAGGGACTACGTTTAACCTAGGGGATAGAATTAAATTTTATGTGCTTCCTTTTCCGCTCATGGAAGCATGAAACTTGGTTCGCTTAAGAGATGCCTGAAGCAGACGACAAGTGCCATTTTGTCGGGGAATATGCGAATATTCGTAGATCAAAAGCTAAACAACGAAACGAGATCACCTTTTAGATTCGTCTGATATTACACAGTCTGTCCAAACTTCTATACAACCTTTTCATTTTTCTTAATTTTTTCGAAGTTTGATAAAAATTTTAACTGCCATTGTTCCTTTATCCGTAACTAATATTTCATGCTGCAACGACACGGATGCATTAATACCGAAAGTAATATGTTCTTACAGGACAGATTAGTCTCGAAGTAAATGGATGTACATATTCAGCCGGTTAATTGCCTGGTTCGTGTGATACGGGTATCATGGTGAAGATTAGCGAAACCTCACGAAGCATGAGAACTAAACCAACCCGATGCTGGCATCAAGTTAATGCGCCCGCCGCGTGCTACATTCGAAATGGGAAGATCACCAAAGTAGCTGAGACGTTTGGCTAAATTCAAACTAGTTTTTGATGCGAATCTAATATACGAAACCTGACAAAAGAACTTGTTACCCTCGCAATAATGATGTTCAAACATGAACGAGACACGGATTAAGGTGTAATTACGTTTCACCGAGGATAAAGGCTCATTTGCGCGGCAAAAGTAACAATCCCCTGGCTGGATAGCTCCCAGGAACCCAATTACACTTGTCCTCCGGTGTATTAAAAAAATACACTCTTCTAAAAAGCGTAAAGTCGTTGGCTTACGAATTATTTTTCCTTGCAACTCGTTCGCGTTTCTAACGAGACCATGGCAGAATATTCAATTCCGTCGTAACAACGATTTATTAAAAGATTTTCCAGCAAGAGGACGAAACTGCTCGTCCGATTTGCATATATGTATTATTCAAGTAGATGGAACCACATTTAGACTGGAAAAACATCACCTTTATCTCTGATCTCTAGAAGAATTTATGAAATATTTTTCTAGAATTCGCACTTCTTTTTAAGTATGTTTACACTTCGAGAAGCATTTCTTACAATGATTGCAAACAGAGTTCCACTACTTTGAATGACCTATTCTATTTTCTGTCACAATAACAAACGTTAGAGCTCATTTTCGATTGCATTTGTAAGTCCCAACTGAAACGAATTATCTCGAAAATTTGTCCGACAGATGTAGTGTTAAAACATGTAACTCTGATGAGCGTTCCCGTCAAAAGATGGGCTCTTTTGAACGATAACATCATTCAAATTTATGATTGAAAAAAAAAAAAGGAAAAAGAAATGGAGCACTCTTATTTTCTTCTTCCCGCAATCGACATTTCGCAATTTAATTGAGTCATACATTTGCATACACGGTATGTTTTACCTTTGATCATGCAGTATTTGATAAAACGCAAAGTTGTACGTTGCATATTCGCATCAGCGAAACTTAAGTACGCTTAAACTGTTTACATACGTGGGTACATTATAAAAATCGCGATACATGCTTTTAGTCAATAAAATGAGCCAGACTTTAATTCTTCAACGCCGGACTTTAATTAGCGGCTGCATAAAGAAATGAAAAAAAAAGAGCACGTAGGGAACACGCACACTAAACGAACTTTATTCCAGCGTCGATTTTGGTATCGCGATGCGCAAGCTGCACAAACTGAAAAGCTATTTTGATAAACGTTAATTACTTTCGAAACGGATTCCCGACGGAAAATCGAGCAGAAGGCACTTTTTCCGAGCAAAAAACGTGCTCGGGAAATTTAAAATTTTTCTACGTAGATATATCCGTAGCCTTCGCTGTCGCTCGAGTTTGAAACGGAGCGAAACATTTACGAGAGGGGTTAACCCGTGTTTATATCCTGGAATAAGCTATCGTATCCTTAAAAGGGCCATCGTCCTGTTTCGAACGCGAAGGGTCAAAACACTTTCGTGCACTTGCCAGAGAAATCCATCCTTCGCGAGTATGATAGAAAAACCTCCCCAGCCATTGCTTTCTTTTCTCTCTCGCCACCTCTAACCTCCCTCCTAGCCACCCCTTATTCTCTCTTTGCCGCCATTCTTCCTCTGATCCTAGAAGAATGAACGGACTCGAAGTGGCGAGCATGTGTCACGGGATTGGCCCGGCTTCTCGTGCAGCTCGTTCGAAAAGCGGTCCCGAGCCGGGGTCGGGTCGAATCGGGTGCAAGGGTGTACATGCACGGTGTACCGGCACCGAAATATTTCTGAAAGAACGGTGGCTGACGGGGACGAGACGATCCGGAAGGTCCTTGGAAGGAGTACAGCTAGACGGTGGCGTCGGGGAAAAAGTGAGAACGGGAGGCAAGAGAAAGGACGTAAGAAAGGAGTAAGAAGAAGCTGGAAGGGAAAGAAAGAAAACGAGGAAGGGAGATAGAGGGAAGTATTCAGGAAAGGGCAGGAGGGTGAGGTATATGCCGAAGAAACGGGTGGTCGTTCGGTCGTACGTGAAGGGTCGGCGTTAGGCAGTTGGAACGTGGAATAGCGAGGAAAAGGATGGATGGAGAGAGAAAAAGAAATGAACCGTGGTAGGGTGAGTGTAAGAGGGAAAAGGAGAACGAGGGTGCGAAGAGAGAAAGAGATAGACGAAGAGAGAGAAAGCTGGACGAGGGGTTGGTGTGCCTAGGGTCGCGCGAGAAGAGAAACGTACGGAGTGGGGAGATTCCCTAGCAGAAACCAGTCGAGTCCCGGCCTCAGGTCGCGACGGGTGTTCAGTTTACAGGCGACAGCCGTACCGTACGGTTCGTTCGCGTGCCGTCTCGCGCTCTATCTTCCATACGATCGTTCTCCTAATCGGTCAAAGTTTTTTAATCGATCTGACAGTGTACTCGCGTTTATCAGTAGCGTGTCAATTTTACAGAAAAATTACACCGAACGATAAGCAAGTTTTTAATGAACGAGTAAACAAATTATGATTACATGTTGTATCAATGGTCGAGTTAATCGCGTGTGACTCACGAACACAACGCAAGTTGTAAGTGCGTTTATCCTCTACGGTATACAAATATAACCCTGACAGCGTACGTACATACACAAAGTTGTCGTGTTTGAACTCACTTACCAACGGACGTTGCTCCTTACGTGACATAAACAAACGAAGACTCAGGGGGGGCGTCTTTGGAGTAGTAGAACTCTGTCGGCGACTTCACGGCGCAAACAATCCTCCAACCCGTTTCGCTGCTGCCGGTCATCGTATCGGTGAACGGTAACAAACTGAGACCACGATTAAAGGATTTTAATCCGTCGTTCGAGTGAGTGAGAGTGAGGAAAGTGTGTAAACAGGGAGAAAAAGTGATAAGAGAGAAGCCTTTCTACCTACCCACTTTTTTTTCTTTTTTAACGACCAAGATATCTCGTTAAGATTTTTCTGCCACTTGTACACCACTGGTCGAGGAGCTCGCCGACTATTAAAACTGGCAGCAACTTCAAGGCACTTCGTACACCAAGTGGTAAGTTTTATCTTCTGTTTTCTCTTTTTGTCGCTTCTCTTCCAGTCTTTACTCGATTTTTTCGAACCATAAACCGGACCGCATTTGCTCCGAAGTTTAGTCATCAGTAAACAAAATCTCTTTGACAATATCAATGTCGATCGATCCTTCGTGTACGTCACGAATGCGATATCTTTAAACGTCTTTTCGTCTAATCAGAGTAAAAGATTCGCGACTATTCGATAGATAGGACCTCGACGTTTCTCTTTCCGCTTTCTTTCAATTAAATTCTTTGACTTTCGAACATGTTGCACCGTAGAAATCCACATACGAGTCGGGAGCGTCTTAACGTTTACGCGCCAAAATAGTTACTAAAAAAAACATGGCCGACTAGCGGAATTGTCAAGTTTGCATTCCTAGCGACAACAGCGCCAACTAATAGATTTAGTCAACTGACGAACTATTTGCGAACTTACATTCGCGCGTCGCGTCCAATCGGAGTAGTTGTTCGTTCGGGTTGATCGTGTTCGAAAATAAAGTGAATATGAATTTGTGTTTCGTGCGAGGCTCTAAGTGAATGAGAGGTAATCGATCTCGTCTGTATTCGTCAAGCTGTCACATAACATTCGCTAACACGCTCAATATCTGCCTTTGTCAACATCCTTCAACCTCGTGTGTGCTTTCTGTAAGTATATGACATTTTTGCCTCGTTACGAGGTTATTCGATAAGTAGAGTAGTATGTTAAGTGATTACAAGTCAGAAGTGACAAGAAAGTCTCATTTATGTGTAACGTATTTCCAATTGTTTCGATACCGACTTTTTCTTGGCCCAATGGCTGCCGCGAAATTCACTATTCACGAGGTGAATACTTAATCTGCGTATACCACTTCTGGCTGCGTACGCAATATATCGTTAGATTCCGCCTCGCGGGTTGAACACTGCGGCAATATTGTCCGGCATTTTGCAATTCGAATTTTTACAATCAAGCTGCTTCCGAGGAAAACTAGGACTCGTGAATGTTTATCTCGATACGATGGAAAATGCTTGATAGACTAGGAAACAATGCGGTGACGATAGAACGAAATTTCGGAGCTCTCGAGGTTAGGAAACTTTTAAAAACAACGCTGCTGTTCCGGTTTTCCATGGATATTTCCGAAAGCACACTTCCAGTTTCAGATGAATTTTCGAACTCGGTATTTTGAACGATATTGAATAGATGTCGCATTGAAAGCAGCTCGAAAGTATATGTAACAATATCCATGCATGATGTTGGATACAGATTTTATCGTCACAGATGTTTTATTTATTTCAAATATCTTGAAACATTTATTAAAATAATCATTTATCTGCAATGTATTGTCTTATTTTAAGATGCGAAGGGTTATTAATCTTATTGGAGCGAAGCTCCTTTATTAAACGATTGATAGGAATTTTTTTTTGGAGCGAAGCTTTATTAAACGACTGATAGGGACTTTTTTTTGGAGCGAATTAAACGACTGATAGGGATTTTTTTGTGACTTTTTAACTCAAAAACTAGATTATCAATTTTGACCATTCTTTGCAAGCCGATCACAGCGGTCAATGTGAGCGTTTATATACAATAAAATCAGAGATCGGATCACAGAAACCGATACCCATGTTAAGTCTATGAGAGAAATCGAAATTACGCTATCGCGCGAACTTTGAATTCGTGTTCCGTAAATTAGAACTCTGGTTGTTTTATTTTGATCGACTTTTAAATCACAATTTAAGCCAATAAATTCAAGTTTCAACTACAATTAATTCAAACACATGAAAAATCAACATAAAGCACCGGTAGAAATTGAAATTTGGGCAGGAAATACAAAAGTAGGTAAAATAATTGTATATAAAAAAATAGGCTATGTACTATGGGCAAAATTTCACAAAACTGTAATTTGAAAATTTTGAAAAATTTTTAATTTATATTAAAATGTGAAAGGAATTATATTATATCCCCGCATACCCTGAGTAGTTACAGGCCAAACTAAATGTGAGTCGGTCACTCTCTTAGATAGCAAAGCCAAAATCCTAAGATGATACAGAAAAAACATACATGTGAGTCGGCCACTCTCTTAGATAGCAAAGTCCTGAAAAGCGACAGTAAACTTAAACAAAGCCAGCGGGGATACACAGACGTTAGTTTTTGCTTTTGTTAATAGCAAATTACTTTTACTGCAAATCAATCGTTTCGCTTCAGTATATCAGCTACGAAGCGGATGGTGGCCTAGTTACTCTAATTAGTATGTAATTAGATTTCTATGTATCTAATATTAAATTTGTGGTGCGGGGTGAGCCCCACGGTATTCAGCCTGTTAACATAAACGACCTAATATCTGGTTGACCGATCAAACGATATTCTCACGAACTGCCCGAAGTATAATGGCCGTGTCCATCGCGCAAGGGCGAGAATTGAAGAGCATTGTCGTGTAGCGTGGCCGAGTTGGAAATAAGAAAAGTTTGAATGAAACTATTTTACACGATGCTTGCCGTTGGAAAAGTCCTCGTCCTTTTTCCCCTCGTTGCTCGCGACATCAAAGATGTTCGTAAATCTTGAGAAAATCATCAACAGCCGTATCTGTGTCGATGTACATAGAACGATCCACGCGATGGTACGATAAAAAATATGACGCGGAAATGATGAGAAATAAAAGCTCGGTAGAGGTTCGTTTTTATACTGTAATCTTGATGTTACGTGATACATGCGGCGGTCCGTATAAAAGCAAGATATATCGCTTTATGAGGGAAATGAGATTTTTATTCGCGAGCCAACAAAAAGAGAAATTGGATGAATTTTAATGCGTCTGGAAAACATTAATTTCAACTTTGAGAAATTACGCTTATCGCAACATTTCTCTGAGCAGAGATGCTACCGGGCTTACAGTTTCGTCTATTCGCCCCATCCTCCTTTTGCAACAACATTTAATTAATTCTGAATCCGGCCAATTCAAAGGAAAGAACATTTTTACTAATGTTTGTTGCTGCAACGTTTCGTCGTAACACGGCGTTACATCGACGTCGTTGGTATCTTCGTTTAATCTGACCCGCTATTCAGCTTCATCCTATTTTTCCAACGCGATGCAACGAAAACGCTTGGAATCCTAAAACGAACCGACGTTGGCAGAAATTTACGGGAAATGAGACGGATATAGGATCACGTTTGCTTGAGAGATCTCTTTCTGGTTTTAATGAATGGAAGATAGCTAGCGAGATTCTGTTATTCCCGTAGGTTTGAAGAGAAGCCCTCAATTTACCCTGCTGAAACGTTTGTTCCACTTTCGTTTCGAATGCTCGTCAATTTTCCCCGTCGCTTTGTGCGGTGAAATTATGGTAAATATCTGAGTTGTTTGGTCGACAAAGACCTTGCCACGGTTCATTGAGATTCCATGCTTTTCATGGATATTTTAATTCGTCGGATGTACGCTTTCACCGATATCGATAATTAATTCGCGGTTCTAAAGATGATCATTAACGCGTCCGCGATTAGAACCGAATAATTAACTATCATACGCGATAACGTCTTTCTTGACTGATTAATTATACGATCAGTTGCCGTGTTGGATTCACGTGCACGACTTAATTCCACGTGTTTCCAGCGCCGTTACAAATGGTCCAACAGTTTCGCGCGAATCCCAGCTCGGTCATAAATCAGCCGGCATGAATCGTCTTGAGAAACGTGTATCTCGAAGGTGTAGTAGGATGCGTCAGGAACATGACTATGCGATTCGCGAAAGAGCAGCTGAAAAGTTAGCGTTTTCCTTCTTACACCCTGTTACGTCGTTCCTAAGTCGCGAAGGGAGACGAGATCTGGAAGAAAAAGAACGATCATCGTCCTCGTCGTCGACGACGACGAGGTTGTCGCTCTGTCTGTAGACGGAAAACGATGCCGGCTGGTCGCGTGTTGCTCGACGAGCAACATCAGCAACAGCAGCAGTTCGAAAGTTTCGGTACGGGCGTAGGGAATTTCCATAAGTTGAGAGATGGCTTCTTTGCAAAGTGAGAAAAGATTGTCGCGGGAGAGGCGACAGGAACGGAGCCAGCAGGAGATGGTGCAAGCGGATAACGCCGCCACGGCTATACGTTACTCGCTTGTCCTGCGCCAGCATCTTTACCGGCTATCTCCTTTAAGCTGTTCACCCGAAGCTCTTCGTCTGTCTCGAGACCGAGACACCGTTTGCGTTTTCATCTCCTCCAAGCTTCCTTCCTTCCTTCCTTTCTTTCCTGCGGCCGTCGCATCTGCATAGAAATCACGCGAGGACCGCTTCTCTTCGTGTTGCGTGCTTCTCGATTCGGCTACCGGCGAATATAATCTTCGTTCGTGTAATTCGGTAGTTTCGGAGCTTCGCGGTTTAACCCTCTAGTGTCGAGGTACCATATTCGAGACGCGGAGTCTACAAAACTCTTCAACTTCCATTTTTTTTTATCCCTTTCGCTGCGACATTCCATGCAACGCGATGCAATGTCGTGCCGGGTGGTTAATTTCAAATGAAAATAGTCACCGCTAATTGGCCCTGATCGTTGCCAATTTGTCTTTTTATCGTTTCACCACGTATTTATACTAGGAATCACGTATACCGTGATTTTCACTTGCCTGCATAGTTATCACGATCTTGCGTATCTAACAGCGACTTCGATAATCACGTTAAACACGCGTATCGTGCGGGGCTTCGAAGGAGTTGAATCGTTAGGTCACCGTCTAAATCGTACGAACAGATAAGGCGACGTTAAAGGTCGATATCGACTCTGCAGAAACGTTCTCTCTCTGTCTCTCTCTCTTTCTCTCACTTAGCGAAAAGTCCACTCACGCGAATTCTCGTTTTGCGAGTGCAGCGATACGATCTCGTCTATTCCAGCGCAGATTTCGCGCCTCGTATCGATCTCACTTATTTTATACGGTTAATAAATTAAGGTGCTCGCGTTAATGCACGGTACGGACGTTGGGTTCCTTTTCTTTGTTCAAACTGATTTATAAGTTCCTTCGTTTGTTACTTAAATATTCATA